AAAAATTTTTTTTTTTTTTTTTTTTTTCTAGCGACCACTTTCAACAATTTTATTATATTAGTTATTTTTTTTATAATTAATTGTTGTTAGTTAATTTTTATATATATATATATACAACCAAATTATTAAAATAATTTTAACAAATTAAATTTTAATTTAATTTTCATTCATTAATAAATACATTTTAAACCATATGCTTTAAATATTAGGTTTTTTTAGTTAATTTAGGACATTTATCTTTGAAGTTAAAATTATATAAACTTTTAATCTCAAATTAGTAGTAATAGTAATCAAATTGAAGAATTAATTATGTTATATCTTAAAAATCAAATATCATAGAAAAAAAAACCAATATTTTTCTCATAATTTCATATTTATTGTGAAAGGGTAATTTTTTGAGATTAGGAACTAATGATTTCATCTATATTGCTAACGGAAAAAAAAAAAATTGAACTTTTTTAAAAAAAAAATTAAAAAATTAAGGATACTAATAAAAAAAATTTAAAGTCCACGAACATTTTTTAAACAAAATACAACCGATTTTAATTCAAAACTGACAGTAAATTTATTTTTTTTAAGTCTAAGGATATTAAAATATTTAAAAATTCAAAGATATTTTTTAAACGAGATACAAATTTTAGAATAAGACGATGTTAAAAATAAATTCAAGTTGTAAGCTTTTTTCATGGCTTCTCTGATTCCCCATCTTTTTCTCTTGCTAATGCCTTCCCTTGTGAATGCTCAAAGTAATAGCATAACAGACACTGGTAGCTTTCTCATAGCTGGTGATGTTTCTACTTCTCCATGACTTTCTCCTACAAAGGATTTCGCGTTCGGTTTTCGAGTGAACTCGAAAACGGTCTCTTTCTGTTGTCTATTTGGTACAACAAATTACCTGAAAAGACTGTAGTTTGGTTTGCCAGACATGACCAAAATCCAGCCCCAAGTGGCTCAAAGGTTGAGCTAACTGCTTCAGATGGCTTATTGTTTTGCAATTCCCGAGGTGGAACTTCGAAACTGATCAGCCTTGTTTCAGGGACTGTTGCCTCTGCTGTGATGAATGATACAGGGAATTTGATGCTTAAAGATTCAGACTCCATGCTGTTATGGGAGAGCTTTAAACACCCAACAGACACCTTGCTTCCTACACAAAAGATGGAGATAAATGACATACTTTCTTCATACAAATCACATCAGAATTACTCATTGGGGAAGTTTCATTTTCAATTGTGGAAAGGCAATGCAGTGCTCAATATCAGAAACTTGCCCACGGGCAATATGCATGAATCGTACGATACAATACGAGCCACTGATGGATACCAAATTGTTTTTGACAAGGATGGTGTCTTGTATATAATGCAAAGAGATGGAAACAGGGTTAATATCAGTGAACAAGAAGGAGATTACCCAGCTGATATTCATTACTACAAAGTGACACTCAATTTTGATGGTGTTCTAACTGTGAGTCACTATCCAAAGAATCCCACCACCAGTTCAAATGCAGCCTGGAGGGACGTCAAGAAGATGCCTGATAATATATGCATGGCTATGAGGGGAGAGTTGAGCTCTGGAATCTGTGGATATAATAGTATATGCACATTAAATGATGATCAAAGGCCAAGATGCAAGTGCCCAACTGGTTATTCTTTTATGGACCTGAATGATACCTACAGCAACTGTGTGGCAAATATCCCACAAATATGTGAAGAAGGTGCACAAAATTCTACTGATGATCTATATAGTTGACAAGAACTTCCCAATACTGATTGGCCAATGCTTGATTATGAGATGTACAATCCTTTTAATGCTGAAGAGTGCAAGAAAGCTTGCTTGCTTGACTGCCTCTGTGTGGTGGCTGTGTATAGAGACAATACCTGTTGGAAGAAGAAGCTACCACTATCAAATGGGAGGGAAGATAGCAAGGAAATATCTGTTTCTTTTCTAAAATTAAGAAGAAATACTAATGCCACTGGGAAAACCCAAGATGGGTTTCCAATACCTGAAGGAAAGAAGAATCAGCAAACATTAATTGTTGTGATTTCTGTGCTGCTAGGTTGCTCTCTGTTTGTCATTCTCATCCTGGCTAGTTTGATATGTTGGGGTTTCATCTCCTGCAATAAAAAGAAGCTTGCAGCAGGTAATATTCTACCAAGTGAAAGCTTTGAAAGTAACAATCTATGTCAGTTTACATATAAAGAACTTAGAGAAGCTACAAATGGATTCAAGGAAGAACTAGGAAGAGGATCTTGTGGCATTGTTTACAAAGGGAGGATTAAAACTGGTGTTGTTGCTGTAAAGCAATTGAACAGAGTGTTTGAAGATAGTGAGAAAGAATTCAGGACAGAAGTGAATGTGATTGGGCAAACACACCACAAGAATCTCGTTCGACTACTCGGGTATTGCAACGAGGGGAGAAACCGCATTCTAGTTTATGAATTCATGAGCAATGGGACTCTAGCAGACCTCCTTTTTGGTGATAGGAAGCCAAGTTGGAACCTCAGAACCCATATAGCCTATGGAATTGCCAGAGGACTAATGTACCTGCACGAGTTATGCGACAAGCAAATCATCCATTGTGATATAAAGCCTCAAAATGTACTTCTTGATGAACACTACAATGCCAAGATTGCTGATTTTGGGCTGGCAAAGCCATTGAAAATGGATCAAAGCAGAACAGAAACAGGGATTAGAGGGACTAAAGGGTATGTTGCTCCAGATTGGTTCAGGTCAGCTCCAGTGACAGCCAAGGTTGATGTGTATAGTTTAGGTGTGCAACTGCTAGAAATCATATGTTGCAGAAGGAACGGAGATATGAATGATTTTGAAAGAGGAAAAGAACTATTAGTTGATTGGGCCTATGACTATTTCCAACAAGGAAGATTGGATGTTCTAGTTGTGGAAGATTTGGAAGCCATGGACGACATGAGGAGGTTGGAAACGTTTGTGATGGTTGCAATCTGGTGCCTACAAGAGGATCCATCACAAAGACCAACAATCAAAAGGGTAACGTGGATGCTTGAAGGCATAGCTCCTGTTTCTGTTCCTCCAAATCCCTGCCCATTTACCTCCAATTGCTAAGTTTCTTCTATCCAATTTGAGAAATTTTCATAGGAAGGGGTGGGCTTGATATATCCTACTTTGAGATAGAAATAAAATGAACGATCCAATTCTCAAAAATAGAAAGACCAAAGGTGAAAGTAGAGAGATCAAGTAGTAGTCAAACCATAAATAAACAAAGTCATAATTTTCTAAGAACAGATTCAGAGAAGTAAGCCATCACTAGAATGCTTTTTATGCAGATCCTTGAATGTTTTCAATGATTTCTGTTCTAAACAATAAAAATCAGCAATTTGCGAACAAATCCTAGGCATGTCTGAATACAAATAAATAGAAAGGATCGATTGAATCTTGTCTGCCAAGACTATATGTACGGGCATTACAGAACATTTCTCTCAGTAATGCAAGTACAAAAAAGCATGTATATGAACGTAGAAGTGGAAATGAGAACTGTCTAAATTTCAGGTCATATCATAGAGAAAAATAATAATTGAACATTGTTGTTGTTTGAGATTACAACACTGACTCGACAACATTATATACACAGCAAATATCCTATCAATAAATCATTTCCCCCTTTTTCGTGTAACGTAAGGCAAGCTATCAACTCATGAGGAACAAGAAAGCATACAAACGCCCGGCCGATAAGCCCAAGCTGGGGGCAACCGTGCATATTTTTCCATTCCTGGCTGCTCATCAAATGGCCGTTCCATTATCTTCAGCAGCCGACGAACCTCTCCAAAATCACCCTGCTCAGCTGCATCAATGGCAGTCTGGCATAGGTAGTTCCTGAGAATATATTTAGGATTTATTGCATCCATGGAGGCCTTGCGCTCCTCATCTGATATGCCACTTGCAGCAAGCTGCAAAAGCAATAGAATACTGGATAAGATTAAGGAAAATGTAATATCATTATATTTAAAGCACGCCAGCGTTCCTTAAATGCAGTATCTTATGAAAATTCAGCTACTAACAGAAAACCCATCTAGTAGCACTATAGAGTTTTCTGAAACTTGAACCAAGTCCAATATCTGGGCATGATTTCTGCCCAACGCAAACAGGACCGTGAGATGAGCATTAAGTTGTTTGGTTAGAGCCTGGAGGTTTTATGATTGGATGGCAGCACTGCCTCAAATTTGATAAAGAGGATGAGTTTTAGCAAATGATAATCATATCAGTTTAATAATTTTCATTCTCCCCATCCAAATTGAAAACTGGAAAAGAATGTATATGCCTAAAAAGGCTTTCCTCGATGCTTGTGGGGACTCCAGATTGTTATAGAGATATAATATTTAACTCAATATACTGAAAACAGAATGAAGGGAAAAAATGAAATTATGAATTGGTAGGTCTATTTTACTTTCTTTTTTCTATAATAACCACAAGAAAGCTCCACCATACCCAATGGCACCCGTGCCACACCAAGGCCCCGCCAGGATATATGAAGTATTTTTGGTATATTAAGCATACCCAAGGTTTGAACTTAGGACCTCTAAGCCGGTATGACCAAGAGTTCCCAAGCCCTTGCCAATGAAAAATTAGCATTACAAATTGAATTATTTAATTATTGATACGAGTTGCGTTGAAGCTA